GCGGTAAGTTTTTTTTTTTTTTTTTTGGCTCCCAAGGACAGCGTTATATCGGGGTAGAGGTGTATTCCTGTATGTTAGTTTCTCAGCAAACTGTTGGAGGGAACGCTCAAAGCTAACATGAGGCACTAAATGTTATTTATTAATAAATGCCAACGTATCTAGCACTTTGGACTCTGAAAGGACACCAAATATTTTGCATCATGTATATGAGTTGCTTATTCCATCAGTGAAATGCACAAATCGCTGAGGTGGAGAAGAAGGAAGCAGCTCTAAGTTAATATTCTAGCTGGGACACGAGTAATGGCAGTCAATGGGACGGTCCCCTCAAACCCTTTTCAGTCTAACTTTGTTCTCATTTCATTCTGCATTTTGAATCAGGACAGACTCTTCTTTTGCTGCATGCACGGAGGGAAGGGCCTGAAGGTTCACTCTCCACCTTTTCTTCCTGGAGCAAAAGATTCACTTGTCCCTAAAATTATTTTTCCAGGATGGAGCAGAAGATACCTTGCTGTGCCCTGCTCTTCAGCTGTCTATGTGGTCATTATGGTACTGAGCCCATGAACAAACCTTTGCCCCACATGGAACTCCACTGGCACTACCCGTAGCCCATGTAAATCCATTTTAGGAGAGCAAGTGTCCCTCAGTCCAGCTTGGTAGTTCCTGGGCTGTTGAGTGGCATGGAGCGCCATTCCTAAAGTGCTGCTGGTTTGGAGCCACCTGCTCTATTGTACAAAACCAGATGAGGACCCTGAAGCAGTGACCCTTGCATGATCCCTTAGTCTGGAAGAGCTAAAGCGTTAATTTAACAGCAGCGGCTGTGAATGAAGGTACCTTTATTTTGGCCTGCTCAGCAAAGTTTGAAAATAGAAATCAAAGCTACGTCTCAAGCACCCCAGTGGCAGAACCCTTCTAGGAACGCAGCAGATGTGCAAGAACACATAGCAACACTATATAATTTTAATAATTGGTACTAATATAGGGAATGTAAACAGGCCAAATAGTGACCCAGCTGGGAATCTAGATAGCAGTCCTGAGTTCTCTTGCCAAAAAGTGCAATTACCACTGTGGGTTTGTTACTGACAATTTTCTGCAATTTTTTTCTAGGAAATTTGGCGCCAGACCTACCTAAAATGACTTCCTCCGCAAGCCACCCAGATCTTTTAAGCGGATGGGATTCTTGGGCAGATTCCCCAGCTACAACCAACTTAGCATCACAACAGCCGAAGAAGCCTGCACTTGAAGGTATTATGCAACAAAAATATACTGTGTATTTCTATTGCTAAAGAAAATGCGTGCATCTCAGCCACCCAAAACAACGGAACAACCATATGCGACTCTCATGTGGTTCATTAAATACAGTCTCATTAAAGTACTCGGCTTTAACGTACTGACAGTTATAGACATGGTAAAAGCTAACAGTGTAACATATAACAAGCATCAGGGCTGCCCAGAGGAGGGGGCAAATGGGGTAATTTGCCCCAGGCCCCGCAGGGCCCCCATGAGAATGTCGGAGGCTGCCCCTCCGCCTTCCCCCATCCCCCAGCGCCTCAGCGCGCTGCGTCCAGGAGCGGCCCTGGACAGCACTGCAGCGGCGTCGCCTGAGCTCCTCCCGCTCAGAGCTGCGTGGTAAGGGGGCAGGGCTCCGAGCGGCGGGAGCTCAGGTCCTGTGGAGCCACGCCACTGCAGCACTGTCCAGGGGCTCTCCTGGACGCGGCGCACTGAGGATCCGGGAGAGGGGGGAGGTGGGAGTAAGCAGCATGGTAAGCCCCTCTGAACTGGACACCCCACCGACCCCATCCCTCCACAGCCCTGACCCCCAGCTCCGAGCCCAGCCCCTCATATCCGGACACCCCCCTGACCCCACTCCCCCCACAGCCCTGACCCCCAGCTCCGAGCCCAGCCCCTCTGAGCCGGGCACCCCCAACCCCATCGCCCCACAGCCCTGACCCCCAGCCCCTGTGAGCTGGGCACCCCCAGACCCAGAGCCCAGCTCCCCACCCAGCCCTGGGCAACAGCAGCACCACCCCCAGGCAGCGACAGCCCATTGGCACCAACCATCACCCAGCAACAGCCCATTATGTAATTGCAGATGTATACATACCATTAAAGCATTTAATGTTTTTAAATAATGTATTTTGTGTATTTTTCAAATTATTAAAAATTAATTTTTGAATGTATTTCACTGGTTATTTTTTACATTTCCAAATGCATGTTACTATGGTATTGCAACTTTTTTTTTATGAAAGGGGCCCCCAAAATTGCTTTGCCCCTGGCCCCCTGAATCCTCTGGGTGGCCCTGACAAGAATTTTGGAGGAGAGGCCTTCGACAAGAATCTACCTAGAAAATATTGATAGCAATTTGCTGTGAATCAGGGGGACAGTTTCTGTCAACATCTTTATTTATTTATTTATTTATTTATTTTAAGTGGATATTTTCATCCCCTGCCATCTGTGCCCTGGACATAACTTCATATTTGTTTTTATGACACAGGCCAAGCTCTTACTACAGGAAGCCAGACAAGTGTGCCTTCAGGTTTGTCTTTCAGCCAACCAAAATCTCAGACCTTCGACCCCTTTGCTGACCTTGCTAACCTTAAATCTGGTCTTCCAGGTAATCTTGTATGTTTTCTTAGAAGAATAAAGCAACTAATAACTTCCAGTTACTACATAGAAATTATGTTTTGAAAACATAGCTTGGAAGCAATATAAACCCTTTAATGCTTCAACTTCTAACTGAAGTGGTTTGAAAAACATTTCTGAATGAGCACGTTATTCCAGAATTGCCCCCCGTGAGGTTTCTTGCCCCTTCCTGTGATGCATGCTGTCCTGTCAGCGATGGGATTATTGGTCTGAGCCGGTGTGGCAATTCCTATTTACTTATGACCCTAATATTTTGTGGACCAGGACAACTGTGAAATGCAGAACTTCTGAAACTGCTTTTGCCGTTAGTACAAATGTTAAACCGCTCTTTATTTTATATTGGTAACTTAAAAAAGGAAACAGAATACATGGCTAGTTGTAATCTCTCTCCACTGGTTTATGGTTGAACTCTGGACAGGAACTTAAAGAACTTCCTTGTTAAACTGTCTCTCAGTACTTACACATGATCAGTGTTACACTGAGTTTCATTACAGGGTTGAGGTTTTTAAGGTCCGGCTTGACAAAGCCCTGGCTGGGATGATTTAGTTGGGGATTGGTCCTGCTTTGAGCAGGGGGTTGGACTAGATGACCTCCTGAGGTCCCTCCCAACCCTGATAGTCTATGATTCTATGATCATTTTATGAATCATTATTTAGTAGTGAGAATTTTTCAGTATTTATCCACATGCCATCTCAGTGTCTGACTTCCTGAGTTGCACCCAGTGTATGTCATCTGTAAATTTACACCCAACTTTACAGACTTGGTATGTACTGTTAAAATTAGCTATTTTCTCTTAACTATTTTTGTATAATTTAACTCAAGTATTGAGTTTAAGAGGAAACCTCAGAAACGTGGATTAGCGCTTCCTTTTGTCAATAGCCACATGCCATATTGCAGCAAATTCAATCAAGAAAAAAACGAGTAACCAACTACTTGGTTATGAGTTAATGTTTATGTACTGACCATATCTTTGCAACTGTATAAGACTCAAATATATAGCTAGTCCCTACCCCAGAAGCTTTTTATCCAAAAGACAGGCGTAAGAGAGAAGATACACTGAGCGATTTGGGGGAGGTGGTATCTCAAAATGATTTTTAAAACCCATTCAGATGTCTACTGCCCATTAAATATGGGATGTAGAAAGCATTTGAGAAGGAGTTAGTTTGTGGGCTTTATGAAAGCAGCAGGTCTTTGGGAAGGGGTGGGGACTAGCACACAGACCAAGAGATCGTTCCATGCATATGGGGCAGCCAGGAGGAAAGCAAGGGTTCTGGAATAGAAGAAAACAAATTGGGTGGTGTGACTGGCGTACTTGGCAGAGTCAGAAGGAGACATGGGTGAGAAAATCTGAGACTTGCTCGGGGCAACATTGCACGGGGCTTTGGAGGAAAGGACAAGTTTAAAGTTTTGTTGAGTTTTAAGCAGACTTGAGAAGAAAGATGTTGGTGCTGAGGGAGGCCAGAGAGGAGGCGGTTACAAAAGCCAAGGCAGGCAATGACGACAGGACAGAAAGGAATGGTCCGATTTTTTTTTTTAACTGTTTATGAAATGGAATAAGGGGCAAGATGTAGTGATATTTAGTGCTATCTTGGATGTATAGGGGAGGAAGGGGGAGAAGTCTAAAATGGCCTTGTGCTTGTGAGCCTGAGTGTAGATAAAGGTTACTGATAACAGGAAGTGGCAAATGTTTTGGAAGTAGCTCCACTGGGTTTTGGTGGTGGCAGAAGTGCATCCAGGACGATGCTTTGGAAAGACCTTTAGATAGTGTGTAAGGGACAGAGGGAAGTTGACAGGAGTGAGGGAGCATGTTTGAGTGGTAGCGTAGAAGTGGTAGCTGAAGCTGCGAGCCAATGAAGTCACTCAGGGAGAAGAGGGGACTGAGGACAGAGCCCTGAGGGACTCCCAACAGTGAAGGCAAGGAAGAGAAGAAGTTGCTACAGGAGATGCTGAAAGAGCCCTCGGATGCAGCCAGAAAATGGAGAGGCCACGTCGGTAAAAATCCAGGAAGGAGAAAGTGATTGACACTCTCAGAAGCAGCAGAAAGCTCGGGGTGGGTGAAGACAGTTCTTTGACTTGGCCAAGAAATAACTGGAGAGCTAGAGAGAGCTTATCCAATGGAGTGGGGAAGTGCACAGGCTGCACTATAGGGGATCTACATGGACTGGAGGAGAGGAAATCAAGGCAGTGACTATAAACAGCTTGTTCAGGAGGTGCAGTGGAAAAGAAAGACGCCGGTAGTTGGAGAGGCAGTTGGGGTTAAGGACTGGCCTTTTGAGAAGTGAGGATCCTAGTGCAAGTTTTTATGCTAAGGAAAAGGAGCTGGAGTTGGGAGAGTGAGCGAGAGGAGGTGAGGTGGTCAGGCACTGGGAGCAGAGGGTTGGAAGTCAAGGGTAAGCAAGAAACCTCTGATACAATTAGCAAAGTATATATGGTGTGTGGTCTTTCATTCCCCTACATTATCTGTCTGTATACTCCTTGGCCCCTACTCCCTAGTAAAATATGTGCCAACCTAATCAGAGAAGCCTGGGCTTTTCTACCTTGCATTAAAATCAGCATGAGGCATCAGGTTTCCTCCTCTTCTGGATTGTCAGTCTCCAGCATGGACTCTGCTTTCTTGCTGAATTTTTTGAGAGTCTTTGTGGCTGTGTCCAGTTCTTACTCTTGCTGGAATCAGTAAGGAAGCTTCTACACCTTCCTATTCGAATGTGTAGCTTCCCGTCTGCAGTCTCAGTGCAGTTCACGTTGAGAGAGCTTTTGTCCAAGAAAAATGGGTTAAGCTTAAAACATGATTTTTGTTAATTTAATCAATAATTAATGGAGCCATGAAGTGCTGGCTCACTCTGATCTTTCTCCATGGCTCCCACTCCAATTGTTACTTCTCCTCCCCCCACCCCACCCCGTGTCTTCCTGTGTTAGAACGACACTGTGATAGTGCAGCTGGATGAAATCCGTCTCTAGCAATTGAGAGCAGATTTCAGTTCACTCGGCTCCACTGCAAGTGCAAGACTGGGGGGATGGGGGAGGCCAGGCATAGAGGTCATGATATCAGAGTCTGGTCCTTGCGCTGCATGCAGCAATACAGCACATGCAGTTAGCAATGAAGTCTCTGCATCAGCTGATGATCCACAACCTTTTACCTGATAACTTCAAGGTGCTTCTGCTGGGATGCTGCTTCAGTGGGAAAATGAGCTGTTGTGCCAGTCTGTTACGCCTGGCGCTTCGTTGCCATTGTCCTAGGCAGCCAGACGCACAAAGGAGCAGAAACATGGAAGGCCCTTGTGTGCTGGGGAGGAGAGAAAATGTTGTTTATATGCCAACCGTGGAAGCTCTTGGGGAGACGCTGCAGAAGTGCCAACACGCTTCTGTTTTGCTTTACTTCAGGGGTCGGCAACCTACGGCACGCGTGCCAAACGCGGCAGGCGAGCCGATTCTGAGTGGCACGCTGCCTGCCCGGTGAGAGGAGGAGGAGGGGTGGAGGGGCCGGAATGCACCAAGCTGGGGGAAGAAGGGGGACGAGGGAAGTCCCGGCCCCCCGCCCCACTCAGCCCCCCCGCCCACCGCTCTCCCCTGCGGGGGGGCAGGAGGCAGAAGCTTGGTCCTGCGGCAGCCAAGCTCCCCCCCCCGTTTCTTCCCACAACGTGGTGCATTCTGGCCCCTCCTCCTCCCCCCTCTCCCTGCCGGGACGGCCCTTGGGAGGGGGAGGGGAAGCGGAGCAGAGCCGAGTGGCAGCGTGCTCGCTGCTCCGTCGAGCAGGCAGAGAGAGGTAGGAAGGGAGCCTGGGGGAAGGGGGTGGAACAGGGCATATCCCTCCCAGCCCCCTGCCCTGAGCCGCTCAGGGCAGGGGGCTGGGAGCACCCCCATGAGCCGAGCACCCCAGCCTTCTGCCCTGCACCCCCCTACACCCCATCCCTCTGTCCTGAACCCCCCACCCCAACATACACTCAGCCTTCTGCCCTGCACCTCCCCTCAACACCCAGCCCTCTGCCCTGCACTCCCCACATCCCCCCCCC